AACCAGCTCCTCTTCTCTAGCATAGAGGCTCCAGAAGAGCCCTGCCTTTAGAGCGCTGCTCACTTTGAGGAAAGAGGAAAAGGGCTCCTTCAGAGCCACCTCTCCAGCATGAACAGCTGCGGGCAATTACAGAGGCAAAAGGGCTCTTTAAGCCATTCTTCTCCAGCATGGATACCAACGGAGGCTTTGGCCACGTCTTCCATGTGCAGTGCTGATTGGCCATTTACTTCAAGATAACAGGCAAATAATTCCTTCACTGCCTCTCAAGATAAGCAGTTGGATTCTTCCTTTATGCACCTCATCTTCTAAGAGCTGTTTGTTTGAGGCACCCAAAGGATGTTCTCCAGGAGAACTCCCGCTCACTCTGTAAAGAACGAGCCCTTTGCCCAGGTCTTGACTTGCGTTTGAAGAGCCCTTTGCCCAGGTCTTGCCTTATATAGGAGAAAGTAGCGGAAGCATTTAATAAGGGATTAGGAGGTAAATCCAGTGTGGTGCAGTGGTTAAAAGCGGTGGACTCTAACCTGGAGAACCGGGTTTGATTCCCCCACTCCTCCACATGAAGCCTGATGGGTGACCTTGGGCCAGTCACAGTTCTCTCCGAACTCTCTCAGCCCCACCTACCTCCCAAGGCGCCTGTTGTGGGGAGAGAAAGGGAAAATTGTAAGCCCCTTCGGGACTCCTTAAGGTAGAGAAAAGCAGGGTATAAAAAACCATTCTTCTTCTAAATTGGGAGCCAGAAGCTGCGGGAAGGGGCTAGTTCTTAGAAGCAGTATGTTTACTTTCCCCCCAGTGGCTCCATCTAATGGCAATGTATGGATTGATGGCGGCGGGTTAGAAATCCTGCAGAACGGTGCAAATGCATCGTACGATAGCGGCGGGGGGGGGGGGGGGGGGCTGGCAGCAGAATTTACATGGGAAATCAATTTTAGTGTGCCGGAGGTACATGAATGTGGCTCTTACCAGATGCCCAAACAATATGCTATTTATATTGTTGGATCTATCCTACACCCTAGGCCATGGAATCAATATGGCACAGCAGGTTGAGTGCTGGTCTAGAGACTGGGACAGAGGAGGTTCAAATCTCCACTCAGCTGTGAGGTTCACAACAACCCTGCAAAGCAGGATCGTCTGAAAACGGCTGTCCCACAGTCACTTTCAGCCCAGCCTACTCCAAAGGGTTGTAATGTAGATAAAATGGGAGGTGTGGATCCTGTCCTGAGTCCCCTGGGGGAAGGGCAAGATGGAGGAAAATATGTGGACAGAAGAGGCCAGAAGGAGATGAGGCAGCAGCCAGGCATCTTTCCACCTTGGAGCGAGACATCGCTAAAATGATATTTTAATGATTTGCTTTTGTTTTTTTGATGCGATAATTTGTTTTGGAAGCCAAAGGTGTTTTGTTTGTGTGTGTGTAAAAGCAGGGTAAACTTGCAATGAGACAGATAAAATTCTGATGGCATTTTTTTTTGCATCTCCAAATCCTTTCATATGGAAAATCTCCCTCCATGTAGAAGGCCAGCCCATCAGCGATAGGGCAACTCTAACCTTTTCTCACTGATGAGCTAGTTCAATCCATTCAGATTTTTGTTTTAATGCAGAGGAGCAATAACAAAAAGATGATTCCTACCTGCCCAGAAGTGGTATGATCCAGTAGTCTACCACTTCATTCTGTATAACTGGTTTACATGTTTTCAATAGAACTGTAGTAGCAAAGCAGGTCCTCGACTGTACCATTTCCTACAGTGGGTGTTTGCATGTGCAATTGGCCCTTAATGGGAAAAATATCTCCCTTCACATAGAAAGCTAGCATATCAGGGAGAAGGACTCTCCCAACATAATATTTTCTCATGAGCCGGGAGTTCAGTTTCTCCATGGAGGAAACATTCAAATGACTTCCCCATCCATATTCTGAAGTAGTACAGTCCAGTCACTACCCAAATTTGTTGAACATATAAAAGCAGCCCTCTTAGAATGGATTTCACTTTACTGGAGGCAGTGCAGACCAGATACAAAGGGTGTAACAACGAAGCTTACCCGGAGCCTGTCAGGATCAGGCCTTTTTATTTATTTAGAAAGTTGGTACGCTGTCTACCTAGATAACTGCTTGAGGAAAAAGTACACTAAGTAAAAGGTGATAACTCAGGGCTATTTTTGGGCAGGAACGCACAGGAACGGAGTTCCGGCTGGCTCCCGAGTTGGCCACGCCCAGCAGGAACTCATTAGCATAATAGGCCACACCCAACAGCAGGAACTCATTAGGATTGGCTACATTAGGGGTGTGTGGCCTAACATGCAAAGGAGTTCCTGCTACAAAAAAGGCCCTGGGTTTTGACAACAAACAAGGTAAACAGAATAAGAAGCAAAAGGTGGGTGTGGCTGGATGACCACACTTCTGGCAACATGGGGGTGCGGCCTAATGTGCTAATGAGCAGTGCAGTCAGGGGTGTGGCCTAATATGCTAATGAGTTTTTACTGCTGGGTGTGGCCTGTTATGCTAATGAGTTCCTGCTGGGCTTTTTCTACAAAAAGAGCCCTGGATAACATCATTAAAAACAACATAAAAATCATTAAAATTAACAAACCACAAAAAGCTGCATATTAAAAAAAAAACCCAGCCAGAGCAAAAAAACAACAACACAAGAGACTAGATCCTGACTAGCTTCTCCACCAATGAGAGAAGTGTGGGAATTTCTTCCAGTCCCCTTCTTGCTACTACATACCCTGAGTTGCCTCTTGTTTTGCTCCTGAGGGTCCCCTGCCCCCCCCCCCAGCAGCATTTCAGGGATATCAGTGGGCTGCGGTGGGGGGAGAGTAAGGAATATTCTGTTCCACTGACCAAAGTGCCTTGTGTGAATGGAAAACATAGTCAGGATTTAACCCCAAACAATGAGAAACCTAAAAGGATTCTTGTAAAACAGGCTAGAAGTAGACTGTTGAAAAAGATCACACCCCTGAGGTAAACGCCTAGGTAAAAAGAAATGATTTGGCCTGGTGCCTCAAAGAGAATAGGGTAGGTGCCTGGCAAACCTCAAGGAGGCAGGGCATTCCACAGGACAGGGGCCATCGCTGAAAAGGCCCCGTCTCCATTCGCCCAATGCCTCCCCTCTGCAGATGGGGCTCTAGAGAGCCAAGCTTATGAGGTGGCTCTCAATAGGCAGGGCAGACCATACGGAAGGAGGCAAGCCTTCAGGTATCCCCAGCCCAAGCCATTATGGGCCCTCCAAATAAACACCAGTACTTCGAATTCTGCCCAGAAACGACCATTGCAGACCTTTCAAAACAGGGATGATACGACTCATTTCTCACAGCAAAAGGTAACAGTGACTCACAAGGACACTGCCGTAGCAGGTCTGCCTTACTCCCATTTTATGGATGGTCAGCTGAGACACAGTTTGGAATTCTAATGAGAATTACAATTACGTAGACAGACACATACACAGAGAGAAGGCAACCTTTTTGTTCTTTCATCCGAGCAACTGATTTCAGGGAGCAGTCTTTTTTCAATCACAGCAATGTCGGGACGTGTCTCACCAGAGTTCCACTCCAACACATGATTATTTCAGACCCGTAAACTCTGAAAGGTTATCGGCGGTCTTCTAAAACGATTTTGGGATTCCTCCCCACCACCACCAAAGCAACCAGATTACCAAGGGGTGGAAGAGAAAACTGTCATAGTCCCTGGGCGAGGGGGAAGTGCGTGTTTTAACATAAATTGTCTTGGATTTTCAATTTTAATACCCTGCTGAGTTATTGGAGTGAAGCGGTCAACAAAAGGGGGGTGGGTGGTCTGGAAGAGCAGGACACCCCCCCCCCCCAAGGAGGCCACCGATCGGAGTGAAATTTCAACGCAGTCAAGTTTTCGCTGGAGCTTAAGCGACAGTGATTCAATTAAAACACACCCCCTCCGTTCACCGGCGTGATGAGGATGGCAAGAAAAGAGGCCTTCCCCTGCCACTTTCCAGTGGCCCCTTCCAGCTGGAACCAACATTATCATTGGAACTTTTCCCCAGCCTTTCCCCTTTGGCCGACAAGGTTATGAAAAAGAGGGGAGGGGAGAAAGCCAGATCCGAAGTAGAAAAGGGACAGATTTAACTGATCGGGCTTAAAAAAAAAAGAAAAATCAATGGGCAGTCGAGTGTTATTCTTTCTCTGCCGCCCCCCCAACTGCCAAGCCTCTCTGCATTAACTAAAAGGAGCTGGGGGGGGGGGAGAGAAAAGTGAAAGCTCTCCTGTTTACTATGCATTTGCAATTCAAATTGTTTTCCTGGAGAGTGGAAAAATCCCACATCGACTTCGCGCGTGGAACGCCTCTGTGGGAGAAAGATGTGTTTTCATGCCTCTCTGATCTAACTTTACCCCTCCACTTCATCTTGCTTGGCCCAAAGGCATTATTCCAAAACGCAAGGGGGGTGGGGGTGGGGATTAACAACAGGACAGGATGTTACAAGAAAGCTAGAACCCTCTTACCGCCCCCCCGCAGCACTTTTCCTAACGCTGACATGACATGATTTTTTAAAAAAACCAAAACTGCTGCAAGTAAATATATATGTTAGGCATACACACAAATATCGCCCCTCGCTCCCCCCCTCTCCTCCCGACCGCCGCTCTTTGTTATCTTGCCTATTTCTCCTTCTGAGTTTTCCATTTCAGCCTCTTTTTCAATCAGCTTCACCCTCCCTCTAAACTTTCGATTATGTTTTTTTTTGAGTTCCCCAGACACTGCAAACACCTGTTTTAATTAAACAGCTTTCCGAACAGAACGATTGAAAGAGAGCGAGAGGATCTATGGGGGGGAGGGGAAGGAGGGGGGCGTGTTAGTGCAAGGGGGGGGGGAAATCCTTCCAAGATTCTTTGTAAAAGACAAGAAAAAGCAAAGACAGTCTTCGGGGAAACGCCGATCGCTTTGGAGGACAGGGTGTTTTC